TCGGGGTCGGGTGCTATGCAGACCGGGCGGCGGGTCGGGCGGGAGGCCCGGGCATGCCGATCGCCGGTGGCATAGACTAGCTCTAGGGACGTGGAACGTCACCTCGCTAGCGGGAAAGAGCCGGAGCTGGTGCAGGAGGTGGAGCGATACCAGCTAGAAATAGTTGGACTCACCTCCACACACAGCGTTGGCTCTGGAACCAAGCTCCTGGAGAGGGGTTGGACTTTGTCCTTTTCCGGAGTTGCCCAGGGTGAGAGGCGCCGGGCGGGAGTGGGGATACTCACGAGCCCCCGGCTGAGCGCCGCTGTGTTGGAGTTCTCCCCGGAGAGCGAGAGGGTCGCCTCCATGCGCCTTCGGGTTGCGGGGAGCAAGGCTCTGACTGTGGTTTGTGCTTATGCACCAAACAGCAGTTCAGAGTATCCGGCCTTCTTGGAGTCGGTGGGAGGGGTCCTGGAAAGGGCGCCGCCTACCGACTCCATAGTTCTCCTGGGGGACTTCAACGCTCACGTGGGCGATGACGGAGAAACCTGGCGGGGGGTGATTGGGAGGAACGGCTTGCCCGATCTGAACCCGAATGGTGTTTCGTTATTGGACTTTTGTGCTTGCCATGGTTTGGCTATAACGAACACTATGTTCGAACATAAGGTGGCTCATAAGTGTACCTGGTACCAGAACACCTTAGGCCGGAGATCAATGATCGACTTTGTAATCGTATCATTTGATCTGCGGCCGTATGTCTTGGACACTCGGGTGAAGAGAGGAGCAGAGCTGTCAACTGATCACCACCTGGTGGTGAGTTGGATCAGATGGCAGGGGAACCAGTTGGAAAGACCCGGCAAACCCAAATGTGTAGTGAGGGTGAACTGGGAACGTCTGGCGGAGGACCCTGTCCGGGAGGTCTTTAACTCCCACCTCCGGAAGAACTTCTCACACATCCCGAGGGAGGTTGGGGACACGGAATCCGAGTGGACCATGTTCAAAGCCTCTATTGTGGACGCGGCCGCTAGGAGCTGTGGCCGGAAGGTCATCGGTGCCTGTCGTGGTGGCAACCCGAGAACCCGGTGGTGGACACCGGAGGTGAGGGAAGCCGTCAAGCTGAAGAAGGAGACCTTCAAGGCCTGGTTGGCCCAGGGGTCTCCTGAAGCAGCTGACAGGTACCGGCAGGCCAGAAGGGCTGCAGCGGTGGTGGTCGCGAATGCTAAAACTCGGGCATGGGAGGAATTCGGGGAGGCCATGGAGAAGGACTTTCGGTTGGTCTCAAGGAGGTTCTGGCAAACCATCCGACGGCTCAGGAAGGGAAAGCAGGGCTTACCCCAGGCTGTTCTCAGCAGGGGGGGGAACTGCTAACCCGGACGGAGGACATCGTCGGGCGGTGGAAAGAGCACTTTGAGGAACTCCTAAACCCGACCAACATGTCCTCTGCAGAGGAGGCAGCGCCTGAGGACCTAGGGGGAGGCTCACTCATATCCCTGGCAGAGGTCACCGAGGTAGTCAAAAAGCTCCTTGGTGGCAAGGCGCCGGGGGTGGATGAGATCCGCCCTGAGATGCTGAAGGCGCTGGACATGGTTGGGCTGTCCTGGCTGACACGCCTCTTCAATGTCGCATGGGGGTCGGGATCAGTGCCCATGGAATGGCAGACCGGGGTGGTGGTTCCCATCTTCAAAAAGGGGGACCGGAGAGTGTGCTCCAATTACCGGGGTATCACACTACTCAGCCTCCCGGGGAAGGCTTATGCCAGGGTGCTGGAAAGGAGGCTCCGACCGCTTGTCGAACCTCAGATTCAAGAGGAGCAGTGCGGATTCCGTCCCGGCCGTGGAACAGTGGACCAGCTCTTTACCCTCGCAAGACTACTGGAGGGGTTCTGGGAGTTTGCCCAACCAGTCTACATGTGCTTTGTGGACTTGGAGAAGGCTTTCGACCGGGTCCCTCGGGGGGTCTTGTGGGGGGTGCTGCGGGAGTATGGGGTGCCGGACCCGTTACAACGGGCGATCCGGTCTCTGTACGGCTGCAGTAGGAGCTGTGTCCGCATTCTCGGCAATAAGTCAGACACGTTCCCGGTGGGTGTTGGCCTCCGCCAGGGCTGCCCTTTGTCACTGGTCCTGTTTGTGATTTTCATGGACAGGATATCTAGGCGCAGCATGGGGGCGGAGAACGTCAGTCTCGGGGGTCTCGGGATCGCTTCTCTGCTATTTGCAGATGATGTGGTCCTGTTAGCCTCCTCGGATTGTGACCTCCAGCATTCACTGGGGCAGTTTGCAGCCGAGTGTGAAGCGGCGGGGATGAGAGTTAGCACCTCCAAATCTGAGGCCATGGTTCTCTGCCGGAAACCGGTGGATTGCTCCCTCCAGGTGGGGACGGAGTGCCTACCTCAAGCGAAGGAGTTCAAGTATCTCGGGGTCTTGTTCACGAGTGAGGGTAAGATGGAGCGGGAGATCGACAGACGGATCGGTGCAGCTGCAGCAGTAAAGCAGGCGCTGCACCGGACCGTCTTGGTGAAGAG